GATTGTGTGTATACTGTCTCGTTTTTAATGCATCTCTCTTTTTCACACTGTTCTAAGTATGAATGCCATCATAAATTAATTCTCATGATCTATGTTAAGTAACTGTTACTAATGTAAAAATGTTTATGGTTATATTATTTCCTTAGATCATCAATGAGCGTCAGTGTTGCAGTGGACAACTGTGAGGAGGATCACAGCCACATGCCCCAGACCTGTGATGCAGAAACACAATGGGAGGATCCATCTGTCTCTGACCACAACTATGCTACAATATCTCAACTCAACCTGAAGCCACCTACATTTGAAATGGGAACACAATGCGTTGAGCCAGTGCTATAGTACATAACTCTGCTGAGAAACGACCACCTTTGTCAGCGGGTCGACATTGGATGCATTCCATTCAGTAGCCGAGCACCTCACCAGTTCATACACCAACAGCTTTCAGCTACACACTTGAGATCAGCTCCTAATGAAGCTGCGTCTTAATTTATTGCAGGGTGATCTTGCTGTAAGGTTTGGTGTTTCTCAGTCCATTGTAAGCAAGGTGATTTCGCGTTGGCTTGACATCATGGAGGAGAAGTGTTTCCAAACACAACATGTAGGGCTGCACAATATATCTAAATATAACAAATGAATATATTGCAATATGCATAACTTTTTTAGCTTTAATAAGAATCAGTGTATATATATATATATTTAATTCATACAGTGAAAACTAAGCAGTGTTTTATTTTTACATTTGATTATTCAGTTTCTGTTGTTAAATAGACCTAATGTAGGATAACCTGAACCCCTTAACCCCGTGGTTTACACTGATGTTAAAATAACACTTCTTATGCTACAGTAAAACACTGCTGTTCACTTTCACAAGTTGAAGGGATGTTTTCTTGTCACAAAAAAATTTGAAACACGTATGTAGGTTATATAAGTTTAAATCTAAATTAAGTTAATTTTATAAATTTTAAGCACAATCGTATCGAATATCGCATTGTTTAATGAGTAATCAAATTTTTTCTTCAATATCGTGCACTTAATAACTTCGTCCAGGCGATGAAGTAATGGCAGACAGAGGCTTCACCATTACCGATCTCCTCTATGAAAGGAAGGTGAAACTTGTCCTTCCTGTAAACTTTTACAATGTGCCCATATTTTACCTGTTATGAAGTTATTTTTATAAACCTTTACAATGTGACCAGATTTCACCTGTCAGTCATTTATTATTAAACCATATGTGAGCTCTGTAGATTCCCTTTAAAACTTAAATGAATTAAGTCTTCTAGTTAGAAGGAATAAGTCACGTCAATTTTGCAAATGAATACCATCTTGGTTTATTACTTAAGACATTTAAATGGTGAAATGTATCTACATGAAGGTCAGTAGAAGGTGTCTAGCTTCCTGAAAACATCAAACACTTCTTACAACTGATTTTATAAAACTTATTTAATCATTTATATTTAACCAATTACCTCATCTCCTATCCTTAACTAAATATTCTCATTCCTTCTTATTTACACATAATTTGTTATTGCTGCTCCATCAACTCCTAACAGGACGAAGTAGTTAAATATGTCCACATAGGTTAACTGTTACCTCTGGCCACGTTAACAATGACGATGGATGAGACAATGTGAGACCAACTGATCGTCCTATGAAGTTTTCTCCGTGCTCCCAGTTTAAAACATTTATGGTATTAACGTTATTTGACATTTTGCTAAAGTTTTGGCTAGCTAAAAAACAATCTTCTAACAACTGAAATAGCTACCGGATGTGCCGTGCCAGTTTAGCGGAAGTCGGATGACAAAATGCGGAAGCGCGAAGTATTAAAAGTGGGCGGGGCGGAATAAGGTGAATAAGAAGTTAAGGCAACTCGATTGAACCTATGCTCGGCGTGAAATGTTGATGCTTGAAATTGAACACAAGACTTACCTCAAGTTCACCGTAATGGCGCAGAATCGAGAAGGGATGATTCCAAGTCAGGCGTGGAGTTTTATTTCACCCAAAGTTGTGCACGTCACTCCAGTGATGAGCTGAGCATGCGTGCTGGCGCTTGCTGCAGTAACTAACCGTTGAAATCGGCTTCATACTGGTAAACGGGTCTGAGCCGACCGAGCGCCCAGAGTTTACAGCCGTCGACCGCTGTCAATGGTGGTAAATATTTGAAATAGGCAATAAAATGAAGTGACTTTGCCTAATTGCGGTTGCCACTACTCAGCCAATGCCGCGACTGCGATCACCATGACTGCTGTGCGAGTGATGTCACCTAGCGCGCATGCATGTTTAAAATACATAAAGTAAAGAATGATCTTCATGACAACTAAATATTTTTGCTATGGTTATAAATATTAAAGAATGCTCTGTGTAAAACGACACTATTATTATTATTATTACTGCAAAAAATATTAATATTTTGTTTTGGACAAGCATCAGATACGGTCAGGAATTTACGTCAATTTTAAAATAATTTTTATGTTAATTATTGCTTCATTAAAACCATCATTGATTTAATCTGAGTCATTTCCAGAAGTGGTCCAGATCATACAGGCAGAGCCGGGTTACCAGTTATGGTGAACATGAATCGGCCCAGTGCTTTACAGCCGTAACAAAAATGCATGTGCCAGAGCGAGCTGCGGGCCACACTCGGCCCGGTTAACACACGCCGATGCCGAGTCTGAGCCGCAGGCGCCGCGGGGCAGCCGAGCTCGGGCCGATTATACATGCTATCTGGGAAGGACATCGACTCCCAGCCCAACACTTCAAGCAATCCGCCATTTTTATTTCTCGCTGCGATTTTGTAGTCCAAGCTCAAGGATGCAGAAGTTACGAGAGGGTAAGTCAAAATGTTCGGTTGTTGGATGTAGTAACCCACACACTTCATTACACCGTCTCCCAGCATCAGAACCTCTTCGAAGTGCCTGGTTGAGTTTTATTTTTCACACCTGTGAGACGCACCGGTCTCACATCTTCACTGTCGTCGCTCCTCCTTTATGCTTCCGCTCCTCCATGAGAGATGCGAGTCCGGTGCGTCTCACAGGTGTCGTTCATTATCACTCACCCCACCGGCCTTGCGCCGCTCTCACGTCCCTCAGCCTCGTCCTGCGCGCCACAACGACGAACAGAGCACTTCGGTAAGCTGTAAATAACGTTAATGAAAATAAAGTACTTTACTTTCTTAAAACACACGGTGGTCATGGTTTTGTAGTACCTTTTTGTCTTTCTTTCTTTCTTTCTTTCTTTTAAGTACACATCTGTAGCAGTATTACTGTAACGTTAGTTGAGTTTCATCATGACAATGGTCATTTAGCTGCTGTGTTTTCTGATGCTTTTCTAAACGTAGCATATTATCAATACAGATTTTTAGTGGTAAGATTAGGTCGTAGTCATTTGTCTTGTTAGTGTGCTTGTTTTAACAAGAGAAATAATCGACTTAATCGAATAGTCTGGCTCAAACATGTAAGGCTTGATTGACAAGTCTTCCGTTGTTGACATTTTGTTAATAACGTGTGAATAAAAAGTTTCTGTGGCGCTAGATAATCGTATCTCTGCTATCAAACTACAAAAATGGCCGAACGGGGTGGAGTTGAACCGAGTGTCACCTCTGCAAACTGGAGAGGGGGCAGGGTATGAAGTGTCTCATTTGCATTTAAAGAGACCGCACCAAAATGAGTTGCTCTCAGATGCACTTTAGAAAAGGGGTAGAAAAGGGGCCTGTGGAGCTATAATAATGAGGAATTCAGACCCAAGGATTGCAGTTCCGCTTTATATAGACCACAAATGTATGATTTATATGTAAAAAGGAACGATTTAAAAGCATGATATGTCCCCTTTAAAGTATCATTTCAGGCTCCGTTTAGGCACCCCATTTTAAAAGTATCGATTTGGCACCGATATCATAACACACCCAAACGATACCCAAGCCTAGTTCTTAGCCGCCTGGCTACGGCCAGGTGGAGCTGACTTCCTGTGAGAAGATTGTCACAGTCTAGCTGCTGACTCAGGCTTCTTGGTGGGTAGGGCCAGTGCAGCCTTCACAGTGGGCCGCCTTTGGCTGAGGCCTCGGGGATCTGGTGGTCAACCCGGCCTGAGGCAAGATGTGACTGAAGGTCTCCGTCTGCTTCTTCACTGCTGAGAGGCTGTGTAAAGTCCTCAACAGAGTCGCCGAATAGGCCACCTTGAGAGATGGGGGCATCAAGAAAGCACACTTTCTCGGCCTCGCACATCTCTGCAAGGTTGAGCCATAGGTGGTGCTCCTGGTCCACAAGTGGGGACATCGTCTGACCCAGAGCATGCCCTGTGACCTTCGTGGCCCGAAGGGCGAAGTTTGTCACCAAGAGCAGTCCCTCTTGCAGTTCCCCCAGGCCGACGCTCCTTCGAGGGTAGTGAGGGCTGATGAGCCTGCAAGCCATGTTCTTGCAGAAAAAGGTGCCTTCCATGACTTGGTGAGCTCATCATGCACTTCCAGGAAGAATGGAACTTGGGCTGGGCAAGGCGGCATGCCATGCTTCAAGCCCAGAAACCAATCATCCGGCCGCGAGCTCTTGGGACAGGGCGGAGGGTTTTACTCCCGCTCGATGCTCTCGGCTGCCTGGGAGAGCAGAGCTGCCAACTCCGCGTCAGACTCAGCCTGAGCCGTCCCACCTGAGAGTGAAAGACCAGGCAAATCTTTCGCCTCTGGAGGCAATAGCTCGCCTTAGCCAAAATATCTTCTTTAGCCATCACATATGCACCCAGGGGTAATTGAATGGAAATTTGATTCTTACTGCACATAAGAGACGCAATGATTTGCCTCTGAAGAACAAAACTTAAGTGTGTGATGCACGCTGGACACCTTACATACCTGTATGTCCGGGGGCATGACCAGGCATGCAAAATCCACCAATTCCATTGGCCTTTTCTAAATACGTCAGAGGTGTTTGGGGCTCCCAAGAGTGACCGCTACTGCCATTTTGACACAACGTCGAAAGTGGCAGACAGAAAAGGAAACAAAATTTAACGCACTGCACCTGTATTATCAAGGCAGCGGTCCTGGATTCCTACACAGGACACTGTAGTTTTACACTGTATATCTGTCACAGTGTTACATGAAACACATGTTAATCCATTTGGGGCATTGTTGGGTTCTATAAAGTAAGGGTGTATATTAATTGATTATATATTTAATAAAATGAATTGATCAAATAAATGTGATTTGACAATGATCTATCATAATGTGAATAGAATCTTTAATTTTGGAAGGGTTTTACTCACCAGAAAGATTGGCACTATTACAGTTATCAGTGGAGCAGCAAGAAACACTGACAGCTACATTTACAAAACCTAAACCAATTGATGCAGTGGCAGGTGAACTATCTGCTTTCCCCAAACAATATGCTTTGGGCAGAGAGGTCCTCATGGCACATGAAGTACTGTTGCACTGCAAAAACTAAAAATCTTGCCAAGTATATTTTTCTAATTTCTAGTCAAAATATCTCATCACACTTAATATAAGACAAAATCACCTTAATACCAAGATTTAAGTGAGATAAAGGAGCTTGTTTTTAGACAGTGCATCTTGAATATCTTGTTAAGTGAAACTGTCTTAAAAATATCTTGTTTTGAGTCATATCTCAGATGAAACAAGCTTTTTTGACATGTCATAAGGTTTTTAAGCTGCTGTGTTATTTGTAAAAGATGAATCGTCTTGTTTCAAGAAACAGACTTGACTTGAATTGAGACAACAAATCTGCTTTATTGAAAACTGCAGGTCAACATGCCCAACTCACAACAACTCACAATGACATATATTGACGGCAAAAAAACGTAATTTATTTACGTATAAACAACTTTACCGACGTACAAATTTGTATGTATTCCTATTTAACTTATGCATATTAAAATCGTGGTTTTGACTCTATTGCATTCAATTGTCTTATCAATTAAATTTTCAGTCGCATTTATTAATAGTTTAATGTTACACCCCATATGGAAAAGGTTTGCTAAAAACTCCTGTGATTCTTATATGTTCCAACAGAATATTGTAAGGGACATATATGCTGCAAAAACCACATATGTTTTAAACATTTAAACTACACACACAAGCACACATTTTAATTACAAAAATATTTTATTAGAATGTGTTCTACAATATACAGTTGCATATTTCACATATCAATAGTTTTCATTTTAAATCCTGCATCACCAGATTTCATTTTCATTTGTGACAATTTCTCTAAACTTTATCACAGTACTACTAGGTATACAACAGTTCTATTCTTAACCTACAAACATAAAACTTTCCTAAATGTTGAAGTGATTCTTATGCGTATCACTCTAAAAAATAATTCAGTGGCTTAGTAAATATCACAGTAATAATTAACTTTATTACCTAAAATCTCTGAATATCACTTGATAGTTTGAGTTGAACATAGCCTACCGAAATAATTGACTAAAACTCCAACAATAAATTTTGTCTGAAATTTACAGTTATATTTAAGTTTGAAGTTTTTCACTAAAATAATTTAGTATTTGACTAACCAATTATTTATTTAAAATACACTGAGCTAAATTTGTGAAATTTCCATCACAATATTTGAGAATGGATAATTAAACTAATCTGTTTCAAGAACCACAAATATTACTTAAATAAAATCAATATTATTAATATTTAACAAGCATAAGAAATTGTATTTTACTGTCTATGATTACAACAACGCACCCCTCCCCCACCCTCTGACGTGACGACAACTCGACGGTTGAGTGAGCGCGCGCTGTTTGAACTCCAGTGCAGAACAGTTCTCCTCTCCTCAGCCTCGCAGAATTGGTGCATTTCCTCTGTGAAATTCAGGTGTGTATGTTTTATTTTATCCGTATAATCATTAATGTGCTTTAAATAATTTTATTTAATGTGAAGGAACATACAGAGACGCAATGTTACTCGCCTTAAACGAGTGTCGACTCGCGCCTGCCTTTTCGCGTGATTGTAAGGCCTCGCATATAAAACACACGACTATATTCTTAAAGATAATGAATTATAACTAATTTGGATGATAAAATGTCCTCAGAACTGTGCACTGTTTGTTTATTGGCAGGTTATGGAGTCAGTCGCGTCGCAGCATCTTTCGGCTGTGAGTGACGCAGGACGGCGGTGTAAAGTTAGAGGTTCCCCCGCAGAGGCGAGTCCATCTCCGGCACGCGAAACAGCGCTGATCCGGTGGATACTGGATAACAGACCGGTTGATTACACTTGAATTACTTTATTGTTTAGGCCTAAATGTTTAATTTTTACTTCGAAAATGTTTCTTACATGAGTTTAGATGTAGGCAATATTGCATACGTGTTAAAAATAGTATAAAATATATGCTGTTTTGCTGGAATGTTAGGCTACTAATCGACAATAAAGGCCAATGTCATGTAGTTATACCGGTGGTTGTATGGAATATTTTTTACAAAGGTTTAGAGGAAATAAAAAAGTTAATATTACTGCCATATAAACACAGTTTATATTACTCATAAATATTTGTTTTTAAATGTTTCCCCCTAATTATTTCTACTCAAGTTTATTTGTTAATGTACCAAATGCAGTTACTCGGATCTATTTAATTTGTTTTACTAACATTTACTCAGTTAATACAGTGTAAGTAATTGCTTTCACTGCTTAAAAATCTAATCAATATTCTAAGTTTAAAAATGTTTCACCAAAAAAATTGAGTAAATCATATTAAATGTTTTTAGAGTGCATCACCACCAGAGTTCATGTCACATACAAAAACATATTCCAGCCAATTTTAATCACTGTTCTAGAAACATATTTGACTCAGCTTTGTTCATTTGCAATAATATGTTATGATTTTGTTCACAAACAACAGGCCCAGACAGTTAACAATTAATACACAATCTTACAATATCATTTCTTTTCAACTGCTCTTTCAAATCCTGTAGTAAAATTAACAGTCTTCATAAAGATCAGTGATATTCTGACAGTAATCCTCTAACCGGCATCTGCACTGTACAATTTAAAGGGATACTCCACTTTAAAATGAAAATTTTCATCATATACTCCCCCTCATGTTGTTTTAATCCTTAATGAATTTCTTTCTTCTGCTGAACAGAAAGGAAGATATTTAGAAGAATATCAGTAACCAGACAGTTTCTGGTCTCATTGACTTACATAGTATAAAAGTCAATGAGACCAGAAACTGTCTGGTTACTGATATTCTTCTAAATATCTTCCTTTCTGTTCAGCAGAAGAAAGAAATTCATAAAGGATTAAAACAACATGAGGGGGAGTATATGATGAAAGAATTTTCTTTTTAAAGTGGAGTATCCCTTTAAGAATCTGCCAACTGCATATAAGTGAATCAGATGTTGGTCATCAAAACATGAAATCTGTACGAAACACATAAACAAATGACACAAAATGTGTATAAATTCTATATGACTTTAATTTGACTAGCATATAATTAAATATAAGAACTTTAAATTATTATATATGAATTTTATATATTTCGAGTAATACCATACACATTTGCATACTTTTGTCATGTAAAACTCATACAAGTCTTTTAACAGTATTCATACATAACGCAAAAATCCCCTACAAGTTGTATGTGTGTTATTTAGTATGAAATGGGCCATAATCGGTCTGATTTTGTATAGGACATGTATTGGCCTTATATGAAACACAGAAGGTAATTCTGGCCGATTTAAGTAAGGAAGATAATATATGGTTGCTGTATATGAACCATGCAGGTTTTTTTCATATGGGTTAAAAATACCTTCTTTAATTGTTTAACCATTTTGTAATATTTGGTTTATTTATTGTGAAACACAAAAGGCATTTTCTCCTATAGACCCATAATACACTAAAACATAAATTCACAAAAGACATCAATTTTATTAGCTTGGTGTAATCCAAATCTTTAGAATCCATGCGTTGTTTGCAAAAAACAGATCCAAATTCAGCTCTTCATCCAGTGATCTTCATAATTTCTCTCAGCAGAGACCGTAAACGCCAAATCCTGGCATCCCGCGCTCGTGGTGAATTCAAATTCAAAAATTGCGCCCGAAGCGTTACGACATGTTTTACAGCAGTGATATCAGACGCTCATTGGCTCTCGCATGCTTCGTCACAGATTGCGACATGCCATGTTTAATTGGTGTACTACATTTGAAATGGAGAATCGCGCGCGCCTTCAAAGAGCGAACCGAAACCGGATTAGCGTTTTCATGGATTAATAACTTAAATTCTGCTCTATAACGTTACCTCATACAAATATATTATATAGCCTACTGCCAGAGAGGACTGCGACACATCGTCCTGTGAACGACTTTTGGTACCGGTTTTGACATTTTCTCACTAAATAAAATTATTGCGATTAAACGTGTAACGTTATGTCTGTGTTTTTCTTTATAATTGTAACATTAGTTACATAGTTTTAAGAAATGGTTAGGTGTAGGGGTAGGATTAGCCTAGTGGCTCAAACTATATTTTAATGCTTTATTGTTAATAAAACTGCCATTTCCCTACACATTATTTTCATTACGTTTGATCCTTTTAATATTGTCTATAAAATGGGTATGTTTAGGTGTGGGAGTAGGGTAAAGGGATCTTACATTTATAATCTATAAAATGTTCTACTATGTTTTCATATTGCAGTTCCATAAATACTGTGAGCCAAAATGTTGAGAAAAATGAAGCTGTTTCCCTTTTATGCAGTCCTCTGGGACTTTTTGCTGTTTAAAAAAAAAAGGTTGTGTATTTTTCACTTTTTCTGTCTAGTAAACAGTAGTTAATGTCTTGAATCTAGTAGGTAAAATGTCTTGAATCTAGAACAGTATTACTTTTGTTGAGCTTACAATAAGGTAGCCTAAATACACTTGAGATGATGACAGGATGGTAAATTATGGCTTATTATGGCAAAAGAGCACTGCCTAATATGAGTCAGGAATGCTAACTTCAAGGCATTTTGTCTCAAAATGCCCGTTTCCAATCTTATTTCAAGTTGGTGGTGACTTAAATCTAGAACAGTGTAACAATTATAGAACTAAAAATTAGTTAAATACACTTGAAACAAACAGGATGACAAAAGAAAATGCTACTTTTGAGCATGACTAGCTTATTATGAGACACAAAACATCACAATACTAGTAAAATATAGCTAAAAATGAGTTTTCCCAGCTAATTTCAAGATCACTCATATCTTTTAAGGCTTAAATATAATGTCTTATTTCAAGAAATCTTACCAAGAGAATTTTCACTTGTTCCATTGGCAGATTTTTTTGCTTATTACAAGCAAAAATATCTTGTATTCATTTTTTTTTGCTTATTTTTGGAGGGGCCTTTTTTCCAGTGTGTTTGCTTCACATAAAAAAAAAGAAACACAAAAAAACATAATGGCGAGTTAAATATCTTTTAAATTATAACC